AGGTGATTTATCTAAGCGTTTTACTCTCCTCTCCTCTCGTTCTCTCTATCTCTATCCATCTTTATATTGCCATATTTTTGCCGTTCGTTTTTTGTATAATGCACGTACTTGCTTGTCACTCTTCCTGGGCTGGAGCTGCCTCTCCCCAATCTCTGCCCTCAGCTATCTCTCTCGCTCTCTCCCTCTCTGCTATCTGTATCTGTGTACCTGTTAACCCGCGCGCCCCCCCCCTGTTGTCTTCTGTTGCAAATCACATTTTCATTTTGCCTGGATTCGCCAGACTCCGTTGGCTTATTGCCACTTTATGCTATTCAATTTCAATCCTAAATGTTTCCCATGCACTTTACTTCACGCGAAAAATACGAGTAAGCTCGTATATATTTTCTGTTTTCCTTTGAAAAGTCATCTTTTGAATGATTAGCCATGAGATAAGTGAGACATTACCATTTGCAATGGAAAATGCTCACTCCCGTGGCGATAATTGTCCGCTCATGAAAGGATTCCTTGGAAATTTTTAGGGAAATTCCTGATCTTCTGTTAGTATATTCTTCTTTTGAATGCTTGATAAAAACTAAATAACTTTACATATACCTATTCTATATATATACTCAAATATTTAATATACCACGTGTTGTTGTTGTGCAATTATATTAACAATTCTTGTTCATGTTCTCTTGTTTCTTTTATCTTTATGTATCTGTATGATTTCATCTGTTTTCCGAACAATTTCCTTATAACGTGCGTTCTAAATTCGATGTTTGGATGTTTATTGATGTCGTAATGGATCATCTTCCATATATGTACTCCCCACACTACAACCGCCCCACCCGAAACCCGACACAACCAACCAACCAACCAACCAACAAACAAACAACAAAAACCAATCTATACAATATATTTGTTGTGAATTGTTGTGAAATGTGTGTTGAATGTTTGTTTTACCTACTGCACACACTGTATCGATGCGAACGAACCGAAATATTGTGCCCATAAATTGCATTGATCTCTAATCGAAGGCCCTCAAATTTCCGCAGACATTATCAATGCCCAATACACGGTGGAGACCCTGGTGATGGCCGTGCTGGCCGGATCGATATTCTCGCTGCTGGTTGGCTTCTTTACAGGCTACTTCTGCGGCCGGCGCTGCCACAAGGACGAGGACGACAATCTGCCCTACCCGGACACGGAGTACGAGTACTTTGAGCAGCGTCAGAACGTCAATAGGTGAGTGAGGAGTCCCGTCTGCTTAGCCATTATCCACTTATGCGAATCTTTCTCCCCAGCAGTTTCCCCTCGTCGTGCCGAATCCAACAGGAGCCGAAGCTGCTGCCCCAGGTGGAGGAGGTGACCTATGCAGAGCCAGTGCTGCTGCCACAGCCACCGCCGCAGAACAAGATGCACTCGCCGAAGAACACGCTCCGCAAGCCACCCATGCATCAGATGCACCAGGGACCCAACTCGGAGACGCTCTTCCAGTTCCAGCCAGATGGCTACAACACCCAGCAGACATATCGCGGACGCGACAACTTTGGAACGTTGCGCTCCCACCAGGTGATGGTGAGTATTTCCATATACCCTTATATATGGAGGAGTCTCATCTGTCATCTGTTTCCCCATACCCACAGGGCGACAATTATCGACGCGGCGATGGCTTTTCGACCACACGCAGCGTCAAGAAGGTAAGTTTGTCAACTTCCTCGTCTGGCAGTGGCGATTGATTATTTTCATTTCCGATTATAAATCGTATCGTACTACTACTACTACTACTACTACTACTACTATTATTACTACTACCACTACCACTACCACTACTAATCTCTAATCGTAACTCTAATTGCGCTCTTTCGATGTTGTTGACATTTATTGACATTAGCTAACTTAACGTAACTTAAGTCGGAAACCTTGTGGTGCGCTTGTATTTGATGGAACTCTCCTCGCACACTCGTCGATTGGTGTATTTCTTAGACTCACTTTTCAGCATATTTACCTACTAAATGTATCGATGTATCCGTTCTTCTGTTCATGTGCGTGTGCCTATGAGTGTCACCCATAGTTCCGTACCTATCATATAAGTGTTGAAATAACAGAGCACCTACATAAGCGTATAGCTATCATCCACATAAATGTTGTACTTATCGATGTTGCATTATCATTTAGTATTACTACTTGTCGTACCATTTGCATGTCTGTTTTATTTTGATCATATATATGCATACATACTTTCTTCAGTTCAGTTTATTGTATACATTTAAGTCATGGCAGGGATCCTAAAACTTATTGAAAAACCTATTAAATCTGTCTAACATCCATCCATAGTTTTTGTTTCCAAATTGGATGCTTCTTTTGGGATAATTTTAATTATTTAACGATTCCCTAACCCCTAAGAATACCAAACGCCATTTGTACATATCATAGGAATCCCTGTAAATCATCATCAACCATATCTTTCTATGTACTTCGTAACTCTTGGGTTCTGTCTTCAAAAGTTGGAAATACACCAATCGTTCGAATCGGAGTCGGGTTGGATCTTTGCAGGCCCCTCTCTCTCTCGGGCTCTCTCCTGCTCTCTTTGGCTCTCTTAGCATTTTGTATAGCAACTACTATTCCTCACTCAGAGAAAAACCACTTTCTATATCGTTACTAACTTCTTCAAGCTATCCGAACTATTCACAAAACTCGAAACTCACAAAAATCAGACTACAGAAACGTCATTAACACACACGAAAATACCTCAAAGAGAAAACGAAAACAACAAAAAACAAAAACAAAAACTCTATCTCTATCTTTTCTCTCTTCTTTTTCCCTTTTTTCATCAGGTTTACCTTTGAGACGGGAGTGGGGCGGCTGAAACCAGTCAGGGACTAATTACCCAAAATATGGTAAATACTTATGCATAAACTAAAGCAAATTTAGTTCATTTATTTCACCCATTCTTCTTTTTATTCATATTTTTTGTATATTTTTTGGCTTTGTGTTTTTTTTTGCCGGGCGTTCAATAATTGTTACCAAATATTCTGCTCAAAAGCTGCAATGTGGAAGCTCTCGTCACATCGAGCTCAACAGAAATTCGCTAGGCAAAAAGTAATTTCTGAAAAATATCCACCGTTTGAAAATTTGCTCTCACCTTTCGATCTTGTTTCGATCTCTTCTTTTATTGGTTATATCCTTTCCGTAGGCACAGTTGAAGATTTGTTGTTTGTTCTCTCTCTCTCTCTCTCTCTTAAATCACTGTTTCATTTGGTTCCACATTACCTATGTATTTGCGAATGCCGAAAACGAAATTCTCAATCGATCAATCAGTTAATCAATCAATCCAGTCAGCCATCCCGCGCCCAACTCGCTTCGTCGTCAGCCCATCACCGCCATCGCCATCGCCAGCGCCTTCTTCGCCTCCCTCCTCCAACCCATGTCTGATCTTTGTATGCCTGAGGGTGTGTGTGTGTGTGTATCTGTGGGTGTATGCTTTGTATCTCTGAGAACTGTCTCCCCAACACACTTGAATCGCTTGAACTCTTCTGCATGGGCGCCGTTCTTGACTCCTTCAACAAACAAACACACCCAAGAATCCTTCTTCAACGATTACCTCCTCGACAAGTGTGATAGATATACTATATATACATCTATACGATAGATATATCCAAGCCACACCACAACTACTCCTATATGTAACTGCAATAATAATACCTACCCCACTGCTATCCTCCCACCATGATACATGTACTCTAGTAACCTTTTACTTTCGATATATTATATATTTCAATATGCTACATGATTCTTCATTTTATTGCTTGCCAACTTACAAAAAATTTAAACCAAAAAAACCACCGATTGGATCATTTGAGAACTCGCAAAAAGATCGAAAGTTGCAATTTAAATAAATTTTAATCCGATTGAGAATTCAGTAATTACAGTTATTTCGTTTATAATTTCGGAGCCATTAGAGCCAAATAATTTAGATCTTTAAATTGTGTTTGCCTTGCAACATTTGAGAGCCACCAAAATTGACTGCAACGTTTTTCCTTAGATTAAAAACGCAAATTAGAGATATGTTTTGTTTTGTTATATTTCCTTTTTTGTTCATTTGTAAACATATGAATATACCTTTTGCGAACTGAATAACGAATAACGAATATATAAGTATAAAAGAAAGTAAATGACACTCCAACCCCTAGGCTGTAAACAACACAAACACACGAAACAGAAGTCTTGGTCGCGCAAGAAGACAGCCGCCCCGTCATGGTATCGGTAAGTTTCTCTTCACTTCACTTCTCTCTCTCTCTTCTCTTATTTTTACCAACACAGACATACACAGAGAGGCACAACACATACACTCACACAGACACTCTCCTTCCTCTCTATTCGCATCCTCTGTGACTTTCTCTCTCACTCTCTCTCTCTCTGAATGACCTTTGGAATGGGTGGACGCCTCTTTTGGATCGCTTGGATCTTCTGAAACATCCATGTGTCATGCCATGTCATTTTCGGACTTATTTTCCCCTTAATGATATCATACTATAATTTATTTGTATTCTATAACTGTAGTATCTGTCTGTGTGAGTGTTTATGTGCATGTTGCAACAGATTCGATTCGATGTTTTCCGTATTCCTCAATTCCTTTCTTGCAATATGTGCTTTGTGTGTGTACCCACCACCCCGTAGGCAACATGCACCCAAGCACTTGTACATACACATATAGCATCTCTGTGGCTGTGTCTCTGTCTCTGTCTCCACCGATCCACCAATATCTATATAAACTGCATTCAGATATGTGTGTCTATATCTTTTGGTTTGTTCCCCCGTTACAGTAACTCAACATCGCTCGAATAGCCCCCAGCCACAACCACAGCAGCAGCAGCAGGCACAACAGCAGCCGCACTCCAGCTCCGGCTCGTCGCCGGTAATGTCGAACAGCAGCTCCAGTCCAGCGCCGCCGTCGAGCAGTCCCAGCCCCCAGGAGAGCCCCAAGAACTGCAGCTACATTTACCGTGATTGATTGATATGTAACACCAAGTCGATGCCCCTCATTCAGGCCATGCCCACGCCCACGCCCACTCCGACACCGACGCCGACACCCACGCCCATGCCACACCCTGTCGCCGTTCGAGTCCAGCAGGATTATCATCAGCATAACCAGAGCCCAATCTTCAAGACCTATGCCAAGTCCATGCCCGTGACGCCCATACAGCTTCAGTCGCCGATGGAAGAGACGCCCTCCTACGAGCTCTACGAACGCCACGCCCGCTCCGACGCCACATTCCACTTTGACGACGATGTAGATGTGGATGATGACGACGATGATGTGGAGGATACATCATCGCTGGCCATGATCACACCGCCGCCACCCTACGACACCCCCTATCTACTTTCGAGAAGAACCTGCAACAGTGCGGCGGCTCTGTCGCCGCCGCTGCCGCCTCCCCGCAGATTCCGTTTCGGCAATCGGGAGTTCTTCAGCATGAGTCCGGGTGGTGGCGGTGCCACGCCCACATCCACATCCAAAGGCAGCGCCATAACACCCACGAAACTGAGCGCCGCTGCGGCAGCCATGTTCGCCACCCCACAAATGGCCCAGCTGAACAGAAAGTGGGCGCACTTGCAGCGGAAGCGGCGACGGCGAAACAGCAGCTCCGGCGACTCCAAGGAGCTAGACAAACTGGTGCTGCAATCGGTCGATTGGGATGAGAATGAGATGTATTAGACACAATCGATGCACAGAGACTTAATCGAGCTGCAAAGCTGAAATCAAGTATATGGTTTAAGAGTGCTGATGTTGACCCTGTCTACATCTGAGAGGGTCTAGGGCTGAGGCTGAACTGTTGCTATTACGTATATCCTTCCCCCTTCTCCACTTATCCTCGCTTGTCCCTATCCTCCACCCAAGTCCATTTATCGAGCGTAAGATGATAATAGTTTGCATTTTTCCGATAGGCGCTGGATGAGGATATAATTAGAGACAGAAGCCAGAGAAATTATACACGAAATTTACAGTTATATATAGCCTATATATACCCAGTTCTGCTGGCATACACATGCATCAAATACGTATATATACGATTATATACCATACACATACTTGAATGAATATATATATATATATACACATGTAGTGACGGTTCAGTTCGAGGTAGGGGCTAAGCTAAAGTAGAGCCAGCTGCAAACGAAACGATATTGTTAATTAAGATTGATTGATTGATAACACATTTGAGAAGAGGAGAGAAGAGGAGTCAACAGTTTGTACATATTATTCTTAGAGTTGAAGTTGAAAGGAAACCTTATTTGAATAGAGTATACGCGATATACACACACGTTTTTGCATTTAAACCAGACAAATGGAAAAATAGAAGAAATTTACAAAAAGAAAAGAGAAAACAAAACGAAACGCTTATTACTGATTTATACAAAAAAACAACAACAACAACAAGTACAGTACTCGTAATATACCAAAATAGTAGAGCAAACAAATTAGTCTTAAGGGCAGTATAGCATTCGACGTTCGAAATTCGAGATTCGACATTCACATTCAGATCCAACTGCCAACCGCAACAGGAAATATAATATATCCTCCAAGTCAGACACGACACCAAATCACACCGAGAATCTATCGAGTGCATTTTCTAAGGTCAATTTTATTTGCAGAGCCTTAAGCTTCTTTTACAATCTTTCAATCTGCTTCAGAATCTGCTTTAGAAATGTGTAAATTATGTACAGCCGATCCAAGGATCCAAGTAACTGTACAGATATATACATACATACTCGTTCATGCATAGATATGTGCTATATGTGCCATAAATAGGGGCGGGAATCCGCTTTGAGTTTAGTTGTTATTATAGTTTGCATTGGGTTTAGGACGGTACAGAACAGAGAGCTCTCATTCTCTATGATGTATATATACTTATCTATACCTACATATATAAAACTATACGTACACGAGTATATATACGATGAGTATGAGAAGGGGTAAAAAGGTAAAGGTAACGGTAACGGTAAAGGTAAACACAAATTCCGTGTGAAGTGATCGATCAAAATTTAGTGAAAGCATTAACTAAACTGTAGCCTAGCCACATAGGGTTTGTATTATAGATTAGGCGACAGGATAGAGGAGAACTTTTGAGGATATTTGCACTAGGGGCATTTGCTAATGTTGTTCTCATAATAGAGTATATATACACAATATACAATTAACGATATACAATACATAGGGTATATAGTAAGTTAAGGCTAACCGATATTCAAATATTTTGTATGAAAACCTTAACAGAAATCCTTAAAATCCGATTAAATTCAAATATTGTATGGAACACTCGAGCTCGAGCTCGAGCTCGAGGCATTCCAAGTTGCATGAGACTCTCTCTGCACGAGAAAAAGCGTAGAAATATCTAAATCAAAGCAAATTGTAAGAACAAAACAATTGACAAATTGTAGTGTAAACAATAAACACACACACACACACACACATAGACGACATAGAAGTGTATGTATGTACATATGTACTTGCGCTATATACTTTATGGAGCAGCAAACTAACGCTTTTATATGCAATTTTACTTTTTGACAAAACGTATACAAGCCGAAGAAGTAAAGAAAAGAAGGGGGAAATCAGAAAGAGAAATGCAATAAATTTAGACAGCCAAAGACACAATTAATTACTCGAACGATTCTAATTATAATTTGTATTCATCATAATTGTTTGTGCTACATTTTATTTAGTTTTAGTTGTAAATAAATATTCTTTATAGGCTTTTATTGCACTGAGGCAATATACATATATAGCTTTGGTTTATTTAGTTTTTACTCTTTGTTTTCTTTGTTATTAACAATCAAATCAATTGTGTGGAGTACTTCGAAAGCAATATGAACACGTAACAGAAATATGTACATATGCATATGGTAAATATTTCATAGGCAAAAGGAAATCAAACAAAAGTCGGACACATAGCAGATTGGAATGAATGAATTAGGAATACCTTAGGCATACACTAGGAGTTTGAACTATTTCTAGAACTACAACTACATCAACTCTACTTATACAATTGCATACAATTGAGTATTAACTCGAAATCAGATCATTAACTTTTATACACTTTACCATTTACATATACGAATATATACAACAAGCGAACAGAATAACGAATACCGAATACTCGATTCGAATACCGATTTCATAACAAATAGTTAGTTGTACTCGTAATTTAGAGCCAGGATGCAATTGAAAGGTTTTACAGTGAATCATGCCTACAAAGAAAACAAACAACCAGCAATACAACAGCACACACACATAAAAAGATCCATGAATATACCGAATATATATATATAGATGATCCATATACATACACTTATTAGATACTTTAGAAGAGAGATTCTCTAGAGATGCTTTTAAATACAAAACAAAATCGAAAATCCAAAAATCCAAAAAAATGAACAAACAAAAATAAATGAATTAAGCAAAAGAAAAGTATTTTATTAAAACACGACTCTCGATCACTTGTTGATGAAGGGGAAACCGAGTAAAACAGCTAAAGATAGAACATACAATATATACATAAATTTCTTAAAACTTCTGCAAACGCAAAATCACTCGTGAGATCAACAAAACTCAGCAACCTTTTTTTTAGAGAGCCCAAGAGCAGCCCAACCCCTGCCTGAGGTTCGATCCGGACGGAGCTGAAGATGGAGGTGAAGATGAAGATACTTTAAAGATACATTGTAAGCTAATTGAAAACGACTTTTAACTTTCTCCAAATAAGACGAAAAACGATTATTAGCCAAGTATGCCGAAACCAGATTGTAGCGAGCTATTTAGCAACTAATTATAAAAAGAAAAGAACGACCGGCAACAATGGCATTAACAAATTAGTGACAAAACATAACAAATAGTGGGAGGAATAGGAATATGGAAAACCAGGACACACTCAAGTTTTCATTTTTCCATTAAAACGATATATATTCAAGTGCTTCTTACATAAAAATAAATATATATATATATATACATATATACATAAGTATATATAAATGATATATAAAATGATTACATGGTAGATATTATTATTACGGGCAGAATCGGAAGCGAAAGGCATTGCATTATGAATACCTACTAACTAGGTTAAGGCATTTACTAAAACTCTATTATTATTACTATTATTATTATTACTATTATGTTTTGTGAGCGAACACAGAGCGAACTATTACAGATTACAGAATGAAAGAGCAGTTTTAGGGTAAGCCTTATACTACCTATGCAATGCACGATTCCCGGTCCCGGATAATCGTACCGTGCCGTGTCGAGTCATGGCACGAAGCGTTTGGTTTTATATTATTTCTAAGTAGCCAGCAGCTCTCTATGCATATAGTACATACGTATATATAGTATACACAAACAAACGTACGAGTAATCGATGCATTTTACTTACTTGAAAGCCATCAATGAAGCAAAGCAAAGTTAAAGCAAGTTCATGATTCAATTTATATAATTATGTTAAGATTTTATAACGCAACATGCCTAACGTATACATTACCTATATGAATACTATTATACGAGACTTTGTAAATACTTCACTTCACTTCACCAACCAAATAAATAATCTTTCATTCGAGCAAAAACCAGGACAAAAATCATAACGAAACCAAGAAAAATACCGATTCCAGAATCGATTTTCACAGCCTTGGTTCCACGTTCCACACACAATCCATATACACAATCCACACACGATCCATGATCTACGATCCACGGATAGGAGATGAGTATGTTATGCATTCTTTAGCGGTTACAAATACGTAAGGATAAATTTAAATTGTTGAATATGTAGCGCAAAGCATAATTGAAGATAAAGATGATAAAGCCCCAAAGGAATAACAAATATTTAACCAAATAAGTTACAAAACGCTATACACAAAACGGTACTTCCAAGCAACTATAGAGCTAACAGCAAACCATTTAAACAGTTAAACAGCAAACTTAATGAAGTTAAACGAAACAAAATGAATTGAATTGAATTCCGAATAGATCCGCACTCCTGATCGGGCACTCACCACCACCACTATCTCCCTCCCAATCCCTCCTGTTATCCTGCTTGCACTCTCTCTTCAATAGTACCCCCAATCAGGACTTCTCCATAATTTAGAATTTAGTTCGAACCAAACGCTTCAGAAATTTACACAAACGCCTACATGAACACAGCGGATTTCGTGCGGATTGTGTGCGAAGTCGAAAATCAGAACAGCAACAGCGAGAAGAGGAACATCCGTTAAATGAAAGACAAGAACAACAAAAATTGTTAGTAAAAAGACTGAGCTACAAAATATACAAGAAAACAAAACAAAACAAAACAAACATAAAGCAAACAAAAATGCTATCGATATCGAAATCAAGACAAAAGCTAAACGAAAGCAAATTGATGAAACCTTTGATTTACTGAGGAGTTAATTAATGTGCATTTCTGTGTAAACGGTTTTCTAACTAGACGCTTGACTAGAATTTCGTTCGATTCGTATGATTTGGTGGCCAATCGATACACATACGAGTATGTTGAGAAGTTCCTAGCACGCAGCGCACTTGTGCACTTGCACTTGCAGATGGAGGCAGCCCGAATAAGTATCAATCATCAGTAAAACAATCAATCAATCAATCAGTTCAGTTTTAGCAGGCTGTTTTATAATCCATCTAAAACCAGGAAAAGGAACTTCTTCCAGGCCACGATGATTGCTTTGGGCAACATTATCATTATCTGCTGATGTGTGCCATAAAATACGTAAATTGAGAACTTTTGTTTCCGTTCGGAACTCGAATTGTATTTGAGATTGAGGTGCTTTCTATTCTTTGGTCACTGCCACAGCATAATCGAGATTAAAATACCTAGACCATATATATATATAGTATATATATATACACATATATAGAACACGTATATATGCATACACTTGCTTTTAGCTTTCCTAGAACTCTGATTTCCATACTTGAACGTACAGTAAGCTGCGAGTAATAGGAATTAGTCTCAGACACGAAATAATCAAACTCAAGGCGATGATTCGTTTCAATTCGACTCGATTCGAAACATTTACAATTAATTCCACTCAAAAACACTCAGAACAGAACTAAACGAATCGAAACGAAGCGAAGCGAAGCGTATACCATATACTTATATCGAGACAGCGCATTCAATTCTGAAGCAAACCAACAAATTTAACACGCAAAGCTAAAGGAGAAGCAGATAAAAATGAAAACCACATATTATTAATGATTATTATATTGTATTATTATAACTGAAATATTTAGACGAAATGACGATTCTTAATTATAACACATTATTATAGATACATACTGAACAAACCGATACAAAAAACCAAAAAACAAAAACAGAAAATGAAACAAACAAAAAACGGGAACGGAGAAAAGGGAATCGAAAATGATTAATAAAAATGAAAATATAGAGAATATTATATTATGAACATCGCCAATGACTTTCAATCGGTTCGAGTGCATCGCTTCGCATTTTTCACCATGGTCTGCCTGTCCCGTGCGAATACCTTACACTTTTTTATAACTATTTTCCATAATAGTAACCTGTACATGTGCAATATGTACCTGAAATATCGTAGTAGTTGCCGTCTATTGTGTTAAACATCTGAAAAATGAGTCGGATTTAAGAAAGCCCCTCAAGCTGCTTCTTAAGTAGATGCCAAGAGATCGGTGTCGATCTCCAAGACTCTCTTTTCATTGTCTATTCAAACTATTTTTCTATCTTTGTTCGTTCCTCCATCAATTTTCCTTATACCTCTCTTCATTATTAAAACTCTCCAAGTAGTATTGTCCCATATAGATTTTCTGCTTGGTGGAATATCCCTTTGAATTATTCCTCATGGGAAAGCTTCTCCTGTCGGTCTGCTTTAACGTCAGAATCAAGCAACTCTTTATTTCGAAATGGTTATCAAAACTCTGCCTCGTTAAAAATAGCAGTCGGGGGGCATCATTCACTGTGCTGTTTCAAATCTCCATATATTGACCACACATACCTAATCAGCTGTTATATAGTAGTCGTACCTAGGGCCATTTCTATCATCAATGCTTTAATGGAGCAAACATGGCTCTGGCCCAACGAACGGACAACTGACAAGAGGAGCTGCTCCCATCCACCATACGCACCCAGACTGATAACCCAGAGGCAGACTCGTACATAGGACGGATGAGATAAGGAACGGACCCAGAGAAGCGGAGTTAAAAACGCAGTGACGACATCTCGAAGTGGAACTAAGACTTCGAGGGCAGTCGCAGAACTAGCTGGAAGGCGCAGACTCAATCTCATTGTTGCTCAACGCTCAACCCCCTTTGGTTCAGCCAGAACTGCTGAGATGTGGGACTACTTTTGGAGCCCGCCTCGTGGGTCACTCGAATCAAGGCTAGTGCTGGCGATAGATAGTGTTTGAGCTGGTCCGTCTGTAGAAACTAAGTCCGAAATCAGTTCCCATTCAATCGCGACACAGAGAGCAACATGCAGCCGTGGCTTTCCTGGGTCCAGCTCCTGGCGTTGGCACTCTGCGTATGCCAGATCTGCGCCCTCCAGACCAGGCCTAGGACTGATGATATCGACTATGAATTAAGCGAGGAGAACGAGGGTTCCTTTACTCCTCAACCACTAAGGCCGCCACCGTGGCAGGAGACTCCCCAGCCTCAGGTGGCACCACAGGAAGCGCGTGTGCAAGTTCCCGGAGTGGGAGATATAGTCGGTGTACGTGGCTACAAGACGATCTCGAATCGGCCCATCAACGCATTCCTTGGCGTGCATTACGCTCAAGTGGGAGGCGGCCTGGGACGTTTCCAGCAGGCCAGGCCAGTGCCCTTCCAGGGGAGAGTGGACGCCACCACAGCCAGTCCGAATTGCGCCCAATTTCCGGAGTTGCAGCGACTGCAAACGGCCGAGGCACGGGGAGAGAACGTTGACGACTGCCTGACCCTCAACATCTATGCCCCAGAGGGGGCACGCGATCTGCCCGTCCTGGTCTTTGTGCACGGCGAGATGCTATTCGACGGCGGTGCCGAGGAGGCCCAGCCAGACTACGTGCTGGAGAACGAAGTTGTCCTGGTTTCGATCAACTATCGACTGGCGCCCTTCGGGTTTCTCAGCGCCCTCAGTGAGCAACTGCCTGGCAACGTGGCGCTCTCAGACATCCACCTGGCGTTGGAGTGGCTGCAGCGCAATCTTCCCTACTTTGGCGGAAACTCCGGAAAAGTGACCTTAGTGGGTCAGGCCGGCGGCGCCACTCTCGTTCATGCCCTCAGCCTCAGCGGCCGGGCAGCGAACCTCTTCCAGCAGCTCATCCTCCAGTCTGGCACGGCACTGAACCCCTACCTGATCGACGAACGTCCTCTGGAAACTCTGGACACGTTCGCACGGCTCGCCCGCTGTCCAAATGCCGGCCGAAGTCTGGCACCGCTCTACGACTGCCTCAGCCGTCTGCCCACCTCCCAAGTGGTCAGCGCATTCGAGCAGCTGTTCCAACAGAACGAGGCCCGCGGACTCAACTTCCTGGGCGGTTTCAAGCTGGTGGTGGGCGATCCCCTGGGCTACCTTCCCGAGCATCCGGCCGCACTGGCGGCCAACTCGGCCAACAGCACGGTTCCCATGATTGTGGGAGCCGCCAAAGATGCCAGCGCCTTTATACTATCACGTGAGTGCTAAGCTAAGGAAATTGTGTCATGTTCGGTTGGGTCAGAACTGGTCAAATGAGATAAGACTATCAACCGATTAGAGAATATTTGATAGATCATTGCGGACTTGGACTTATTACACTCCCTCCCATTTCCTCCTAGGCTTCTACGACCAGATACAGCGCGTGCAATCGCAGAATGTGAGCGACTTCATCAACGTGGTCCTGCGCCACACGGCGCCTCCAAGCCAACACCAGCTGTGGCTGGATTGGGCGCGTCGTGAGATCTTTTCGCAGGAGCATGATCGCACGGCCAGTGCATACAGTGTGTCCCAGGGTCTGTTGGAATTGAGCAACATGATCCTGTATCGGGCACCCGTCGTCTACTCCATCCGGCTCTCGCACAAAAAGAGTCCCGTCTATTTGTACACCTTTGACTATCGCGGCGAGTATCATCGGTTCGGCCACCTGGACAATCCGCTGCCCTTTGGTGTGGACGCTTCCCTGAGCGACGATAGCGTGTATCTGTTTCCGTACCCGCCGGAGGCCAGCCGCCTGAATCCGGTGGACAAGTCGCTGTCTCGAGCACTGGTTACCATGTGGGTGAACTTTGCCGTTACGGGCATACCCAACCAAAATCCTGGTGTCTGGCCCAAGGCCACTTCCGAGTACGGTCCTTTCCTGCGCTTCACCAACTCGAGGCAGAACATGCTGGAGCTGGACCCACATTTCGGTGACGGACTTTACGCTCCGAATCTCTATGGGCAGTACTTCAATACAACCAATAGCACAACAACAGCTACAACGACGACCACAACAACGACGACCAGACGTCCGTATGTCTACAACCCGTATCCTAGCTGGCAGCAAAGCCCCTATGGTTACAACACAACAACCACAACTTCGACGACGACGACGACTACCAGGCGTCCAACGTATGCGTACAATCCTTATGCTAATTGGCAGCAAAACCGACAGCCCCAACCGCCTCAGGCCTTTCCAAGGAGGCCAACGGATCCTGCATACGAAAGAGCTCAGGAAATCAGGCGACAACAGGTGATCCGGGAGCAGCAAGAGCGAGAGCAGCGGTTGCGTGAACAGCGCGAAAGAGAGCAGCAACAGCAAGAGAATCAGCGTCGCGAAGAGGAGGAACGAGAAAAACAGCGTCTGCAAGAGCAGCGAGAACAGGAAGCCCAGAGAGAATTGGAAAAGCGCTACCAGTTGCAGAGAGAGAAACTCCAGCGAGAACAGCTGCAGCGAGAGCAGTTAGAAAGGGAACAGCGTGAACAGGAGGCAAGGGATGAATGGGAGCGAAACCGAGAGCCAGCGCAAGTAAATCCGGAGGAGCAATTAGAGCAGCGTGAGCGGGAGCAGCGTGAATGGGAGCAGCGTGAACGGGAGCAGCGTGAACGGAATCAGCGTGAACGGGAGCAGCGTGAACGGGAGCAGCGTGAACGGGAGCAGCGTGAACGGGAGCAGCTTGAGCGGGAGCAGCGTGAGCGGGAGCAGCCATCCCAGCCAGCGGAACAAGACGAGCGCGAACTGGAAGATAGGGAGCAACAAGAAAGAGAAGAACAGCAGCGACAGCAAATACTGGAAGAACAACGTCGTTACTACGAGGAGCGTCAGCGAGAACTGCAACAGCTAGAGCAGGAACAGCGAGAGCAACAAGCCAGAGAGCAGCAGGAGCAGCAAGAGCAGCAGCAGCGGGAACAAGAGCAGCGAGAGCAGGAAGAGAGGGAGCAACAGGAGCGCGAACAGCAGCAGCGAGAGCAAATGGAGGGTGGACATCAGCCTTACGAGCCAAATCAGCCGGAGGAAGATCAAGAAAGCTCTCGCAGGCCCTATCCAAGCTACGAGGACTACGTGCGAAGAGACGATGAAGAAGAACCAGCCAACTTTGAACCCGATAGCGAACAAAGCTTATACCGAAACTATTCCGAGGAGCAAGAACGAGAGCAACAGCAACGTGAGCAACTGTATCGTGAACAACAGGAGCGGGAGCGGCAGTCCTACAACCCAACTGACGATGAGGAAGATCAGGAGGACCGTCGGCAACCTTACCAAACCTACGAGGAGTACTTGAGAGTCAATGCAGAAGCTGAAGCGGCAGTGGCAGCTGCAGCTCAGGAGAAGAATGATCCCGAGAATGATCCCAGCGCTTACGAAAACTACGAAGATTACATTAGGGCGCAGGAGGAACGTCAGGAGGCAGAGGAGCGAGATCGGGCTGTTCAGGAGGGCTGGGAGGACTCTCGCCCAGAATACCCAGGTTACCGACAGTTTGTTAGCAATCATCACAACTCGCCGCAGAACGCTAAGCAGCTGCGGAGACAGCAGCGACCCAAGCTATAGAACGGTATTCAATCATATTCCATAGAAACCTGAGTACTATTCTAAAGAGTTCTTTATTAAATATTATATATATCATATGAGTAATCAATACCAATTGTAAATCATTCCCTGCTCAGATACAGGTTTTAAAATGTACCTATTGGCTCAGTGCATAGCTTTATAGCCGTATCTTGTTGCGATTTGGCCGCTTTACCAGACTCTTGCGGACCTCAAGCTTCTTCATCCTACTGGCAGTTGCCGCAGCCAACTGCTTTTTCCGCTGGGCTTTGGCCCTCTTCCGGCTTTGGCTGCGGAGGTAGTAGATTTCGCGTATCAGACTGTGGCCCTGATCCTCGTCGCGCAGCGTGGCGGAGAACTCATTGAAATAATTGCCTCCAATTGTCAGCGTCTCGTCAATCTTCATGTACGGGCCGTATAGCGTGGTCATTGGCGGCCAATAGCCGGACCGATAGGAGCCCAGGGGATTGCCGCTGATCACAAAGTTTGTCCACAGGTCGACCATGCGGTGGGCCATCGTCACGTCCGGCGGACTCAGGCGCTGCACATGCTCGGGATAAGGAAAGAGGTAGAGGGCCTCGTCGGTCAGCGAGACGCCCGCCTTAAACGGACTCTGCATGTTCGTCTCCTCGTCCATCTCGCGATACCTATTGAACTCGCCCGCGTAGTCGAAGGAGTAGAGGAACGTGTTGTCCGGATTATGTTTGTTGTTCATATTCATTGCCAGCAACACGGGCAGCTTGTGATTCAGGGTTCCAGCCACCTGTAAGACCGTTAGAATTAGAGATTGATTTGGATAGTTTAGCGGTGTGCTTACATCGACTAGCCTGGGAATCAGGGTGTCGAAAGTTCCGTTCTCCAGGAGCTGCCGATTGAAAAAGTCGTGCGTGACGAAGCTGGTGAGCAGCATGGTCTTATCAGTGCCCACTACCTGCCGTATCACATGATCGATGTAGTCGTAGGTATTGTAATCATCGTCCGGGATCTTTCCCTCGAAGTCGTTGTCTACGATCTCGTTGAGGACTCGAGTGCCGGCATTTTTCGGACAGCCGCCCATGGCCGGATACGAGAAATTGGACTCCAACATGAGATCGTAGGGGTGCTTGGGCAGCACGCCACTCGGCCCACCAATGGTGAACTGTATGCCGCCCGTGTGGCCAATGCCCAGGTCAGATTTCTCGAGCTGTCAGGTGAGGGCTCTCGTTAATCAGAGATTGCCTGCAGTATGATGCACTTGATGTACTTACCGCATGTTCCATGAAAGCGGTGAGCAGCTCCAGGGCCGTGAGTTCCATGAGGCAAGTGTTCAGATCCCGTACTGTCACCATCTGGCAGTCAGCCTTCTTGGCTATCTCCTGGGCATGCTTGCGTGGATCCTCCTCGAGGAAGATGGGCATAATGGCCGAGCCCGAGTGGTAGATCACCTGGCTGAAGAGACCCCGCTGCACCATCGGCGAGAGGGTGAGCAGATGTGCAATGGCTGCCCCACCCACCTGTCCCGCGACAGTGACACGCGTCGGATCGCCGCCAAAGTACTGGATGAAGTGCTTGACAAACTGCAGGGCAAGGAAGATGTCCAGAAATCCAGCATTTCCTGGTATTTCGTCTGTTTTGGTGGAGAGGAACCCAAAGGGTCCCAGGCGGTACTGCGGCGTCACCAGCACCACATCCTTCTCGAGCAGATAGTCTGGCGGCGCCTCGGAATTGCTGCCCTCGTACAGATACTCGCCGTGTATGTAGACAAGAACGGGCAGCTTCGCAGTCACATTCGGCGTAGTGACGGTCATCGTTAGGCAATCCTCAACGTCCAGCACATCGTCCAGCTTGCGTAGCGAGTCCATCGACACCACCGAGGGACATCCAATCTTTTCCGCTGTAGCATCCATTACATCTTCCCAAGGCTCTATCGGGCGCGGGGCCTATGAAATAGAACCAAATCCAAAATAACTCTTCCCTTTTTTCCGGAATCTATAAGGAGCAGATGACACAAAATAACAACTTGACGGCGGGAGAACCACATCCTCGATAGTATAGTGGTTAGTATCCCCGCCTGTCACGCGGGAGACCGGGGTTCAATTCCCCGTCGGGGAGATTCCAATTTGTTTTATTTTTCTTCAGAGAATTTAATTTTGTGAGATTTGCATATTTTTGAAAGTTTCTAGTAGTAGAAACCGGATAACCAATCAAGCTGAACATTTCTATTCGAATGTTTTAAAATTAGCTCTCATTTTTCTTTCACTTTCTGATGCTTCCGTTCAGAAAGCATTAGCCACGACCATACCTTGAATCGATGCTGCCCCGTCGGGGGCTCGGCGTATCTGACATCGACAAACTGCAGCACCTCGCGCTTGGTCCAGGCAGTCTCTAGGATTTTTCCCTGGATACTGCCCAGCTTTGGTAGCTCAATGATGGTGTCTTTCTCCTCGTCGTAGACCCTGCCGCGGACGCGTGCCTCCGCGCCCCAGTGGAGGGCCAGGACGATGAGGACGGCGAGTGGTAGCACAGATACGTGGTGCATCTTGGAGAACGCGATCAGAAGAAACCAAGAAGCCAGCGCTCTCGATGGCGCACTAAACGCGACTGATCTATGCCGTGTGGTGTCTAATAGATTTTAGTCCGCTCTGACCTGAAGTTTCACCCCAGACCTGACCGACATACCCAAAAGAAGATTTCGCAAACGGAGAGACTAAGACAAAACGCCAAAATACGAATGACGCCTTGTCCCCGTGGTCGGTCTCTGCCGATTCATAGATTTATGCAAATAATTAAGAATTTCGCTGCTCCGCTTTTGCCCACTCCGGGCGCTTCGGGGCAAGTAAAAGGGAAAAGCCCGGCGACAGACCAACAAACCGACAGCCCGAACTTGATTTGTCAGCTGGTCAGTCATTAGGCGCCGAGATTGATTTGCTGGCGAATATTTGCCGGCAAACATTGGGCATTCGCTGAGTTTGTCTTTCTCACGCCAACAATGGCCACGAGGAAAGTGCGGGCAGAGCTGGGGTAAAAATTAATATCTTAAAAGCTGCGGGCGCTGCCTATTTTAAATTTTAGATTTTACAAATTGATTTTCCATATTCTCCTCGCTACTGGTATTCGAGGCCCATCGCGAATTATCAATCATCCCGAGCTGCGGGAGAAAGCAATATCACGCTTTAATGTCCAAAGCGACTTTTGCACTTAATAATCTCTGTAGGTTCTTCAGATATACGAGTTTCCCTTGTTTGAAAAGGGAAGGCCCGCTACAGCAGCTACAGCAAATTATTTTACTGATTATATATTCCCGACTAAAACTGATTCTCTTTTAATTAAGTTATCGAATCAGGCATGGCATTATATTGAACACAGAACATACAAATGAGAGCTTGATCATCTCTCTAAACGAATAATTATGCAAATTTTGGTCGCAATCAACAGTTATCCATTCCTCTGACTCTCTGGCACATCGAATATGATTTATTGGATTTATACGGAGAACTCTCGCGAGTTCGTGAATGGGATATATAACTTAAATAAATATGTGGTCGAACACTCTTCCTTCTTCGACAGAAAATAGTCCGAATGCAATTTATTTATTTATTCTTCCCCTGACTCGCAAATAAAATATATCTTACTAGTACTTGGTAAGTCATTCATCAAATAGCCACATTGTGATTTAAGTTCTACGCAATGTTCCTTATCATTCTTATTATTATTATCATTCTATGATACCACTTTCGAAAAAGCCAAGATTCCCGTGGCCTGCGACACAAACTGCCCTCATCGCCCAAATCGGAAATTCCAAGCCAATAGCTGCGGCCTTTGGTGAGCTTTACTTGAATGGCATTCAGCTCTTCTTCGCTTCTCGGACTCGCCAGATAGCCCCCATCTGACGGCATACATTCGATCCGAAGAACCAATTGACTGTGTTACTCTGCTCGATGTAAAAGAACAAAGCTTTCCAGTTTCTTTACTTTCGGCACCTCCTTCCCTGCTTCGATTGAGGAAAATTTATTCTGCAAATTCCGATCTTCTGCTGTTGCACATTTGAGGTAATTTGTAGACTAATGTTCAAGCTTGTGTCTTTCCTCCTGTATATGCTGATTGCTGTACATCTGCAAGGATCCTTGACATCCTTGATTCGGTAAGTGGAAATTCTAAGATAAGATTGACGCGCTGCATACATATACATATACATATCTAATTGTAGGAATTGCTACTTATCAGTGATTCGCTTACAAGTACAAAATAAATTTACTCGTAATATAAGGAGGTAGACCTCTAAGTATTTCTGATATCAAAATTCATTTCAATTGTTAAGACTTTTATTTTTCCCAGGGTGTCTACTTAGATAAATAGTACCTTCTCCCTCCATATGGCAGACATTTAATTGATTCGGTGATCAGAGTGTGTGAACATACGCGAGTATAGCCTCCACTTGTGTGTACAAATGAATCATAAAATCATTTTATTGACATCCATGAATAAATAAATTAAGTGGAATGTAACAAGTAATTAAATTCTTATTGTTTTTGGATCCGCGTTGACTTCTTGGCAATGAACACCAAATTTTGGCCACGCGCCTCATTGGCTGTCGTCTCATTATTGTCCTCCTCTTCATCCTCCTGATCGTCCTCGGCGTCGACGTCAGGCAACCTATCCCGCATGGTGGCCGCCAGCAAGGCCGATTCCAGGTCATAGTAGTCCTCGTTGACCAGACTGTATCCCTTCTTGACCTCCTCGACCGCAATGCGGTATTCGTCCAGATAGTTGTCGCCGAAGCTGATCGTGCGACCTAGGCGCATATAGGGCCCCGTGTCGTCGCTCATTGGTGCCCAAGAGGGCAGACCCTGGGCAGCGGGTACTCCCGTCTTGGCGAAGGACGTCCACAGGGCCACCATCCGCTTGGCTACCTTGATGTCGCGGTTGGAGTTTAGCGTCTGGTAACGTGGCCAGGGGAAGAGGTAGAGGTTATCGTCAGTCAGCGACACGCCCATGTCGAAGGGCACAAATGAGGCCTCCTCATCGCTGCTACCGTAGCGGTTCAGCTCCCCCTCGTAGTCGAAGGTGTACAGATAGGTACTGTTGGGCAGCTTCTTGGCATTGGCCTGGAGCACCAAGAGCACGGGATTCTTCAGGGAAATCGTGGTGCAGAGCTGCTCAGGGTAGGCCATTCGGTGACTATTAATATTAGCATTCGGAAATGTTCATTTGCTACTCACGTCGATCAGTCCTGGGGTAAGACGTTTGAAGCTGCCGTTCTTGATGTCCTCGACACTGAAGATCTCCTCGTCGGCAAAGTCACTCCAGGAGCCAGTGGGATCCGCCCCATTGGCCTGCGCAATAATGGTTTCAATGTACTGGCGTCCAGTCAGCTTATCATCCAGAATTGTTTCGTTGAAACTGTCCGCAAATATGTCTGCAGAGATGATGGTGAATTCACATTTAGTCACGAGGTCATAAAAGTGCGTCAGTGTGTTCACTCACCCCTCAACATGAAGGTACCGCCATGCTTGACGCTGCCGCCCATTGTGGGATAGGCTTGGAACTTCTCGGCGGCCAGCAGTCGCCCCGGATGCTCCGGCAGGATGCCTGACGGTCCACCGATGACCAGCTGGACACCGCCATAGGCGCCGCCGCTCAGCGAGGGTTTGTCCTCGCCATGGATGCTGAAGGCGGCCAGCAGCATAGTGGCGTTGAGTCGAACCAGGCACTTGTTCAACGACTCCACCTTAGCCAGCTGCTTGCAGCCGGCGATGCGAGCAATATCCTTGGTGGCGGCTAGTGGGGTGTCCGTGATAAAGGCGGGCGACAGCGCCGTGCCCGACTGGTAGATGACTTGATGGAAGAGTCCCGCCGGCACGGCCGGGCTCAGGGTTAGCACGTTGACAAGTGCTGCCCCGCCCACCTGGCCGAAGAGAGTGACCCGCTGCGGATCGCCACCGAAGGAGGAAATGTGCTTCTGCACCCACTTAAGCGCCAGGATGATGTCGCTTACGGCCGCGTTTCCAGGCATGTCGTCGCTCATTGTCGACAGGAAGCCGAATGGACCCAATCGGTATCGCACCGAAACCAGCACCACATCCTCCTCCAGCAGATAGCCGGGAGCGGCCTCCACGGAGTCGCCGTCGTAGAAGAAGTCGCCATGAATGTACACCATAACTGGCGAGAGATCTCCCTCCATCTGTCGAACGGTAGGCAGAGGCTAAGTCAATCAAGAATTTTCACTTGCGGAGATTTTCACCTACCGCCTTGGTGCTGATGGAGAGTCGAAGACAGTCCTCGACATCGAAGCCGTCCTCCTCCAATTTGGCGTACTTGAGCAGATCCTGTATGGAAGGGCATCCGGGGTGATGGCGATGGGCGGGAAGAACGCCCCGCCAGGAAGAAGCCGGTTCCGCTGCCTAAAGCCAATGAAATTTAATTTTAAGTCTCTAGATTTTAATCTATTTGGCTTCGATTTATCATATCTGTTGTTATTATTAATGTCTATATATTTTTAGCCGCCTGACCAATTGACGTATTAGATCAGAGTATTCTTAGCTGGTTCCACAATCTTTACGCGTTCATCGGATGAAGGTTTTTGGGCCAAAGTCTAACACGCGGGATACTGGCGATTAATTTCTCATTGGAGAGATTTTAAGAAAACTTTTATTCTTTTAAATAATACTTTTATGATTTGATGACCTTTGGTTTAACATCATCTCCCGGATATTCTACGTATTTGATTCACATTCTTAGTAGAAACAAACAAAACAAAAAAGAATAAAAATATAAAAAGAAGTTTACATTCCTCCCCGACGGGGAATTGAACCCCGGTCTCCCGCGTGACAGGCGGGGATACTAACCACTATACTATCGAGGATTTGCTTCTTCTGCCGTCAAACTGCTATTTTACCACTATACTATCGAGGACTCTGACACTAGGGCCAAGATATAAAAATAAGGAACCAATCTTAAGCAGAGAAATTCTTCTTGAACATATTTTTGAATTTGAGTTCCTTGACCCTTGGAATAGAAACTGGAACAAGAAGAAATATGAACTCACCTTGAAGCGATCTGCCTTTCCGTATGGCACATCGAGGAATTGCATTATTTCCTTGCCAGTCCAGTCCGTGCTCAAAGTCCGACCACGGAGCCTGCCCAGAACGGGCACCGATGCGGTGAACACATTCGACTCGGGAGTGCTGGGCTTCTGCTGCTGGAGCGGGGGCTGCTTCTGTTTGTTGGGTCGCTGCTTCTGCCCGGCCGCCTGTTGGTTCTTGTTGGGTCGTCTGTTCTTGTGGTTGCCCATAGCCTGTGCGGATCCAGGCTTGGTCCTCTGCTGCTTCTGCTTTTGATAGTTTTGGGATCTCTCAGCCTGACTGCTGGCCGCCAGGGCCAGAAGGACGATCGCCAGGAGGATCAGCACACCACCACGTATCCTTGCCATATCTAGACTTCACTTTTTGGTTCTGTTGTGGTGCGAGGGACGGGACAAGAAGAACTGCTGGCTGCTTCGACCACTAGCCACGAAGAAGACTTTCTCGGCATTATCGAGTGACTCTTGACCGGGCACGAGTTCTATTTTAGATGAACCGCTGCCGCAGCATCGCGATGAAATGGGGTCAAGTCGTAGTCGTTGACAGCTCTCTGCCTCTTCTTTGCTCTTTTCCTGCCCTTCGCAAATCTCTCGACCGATCCAAATCCACCTCTCAACTCGCGAACACACTCCATGAATATTCATTGAATCGTAGCCATAGCTGGATTGGTTCTTGAGGATTATGCTGCTGTTGTTAGTAAAATAGAGCCACTGCCAAAGAACCAATTCCATCAGCGACGACCCCCACGGCGTTTTCTCCCAATCAGTCGGACCTGGATCTGGCGCCAATGGGTATGGTATTATCAAACCGGAGCGAATGCCAAAGCCAAAGCAAATGAGAAATGACAAATACCATTATGCAAAGCCATTTCTAATCTAGATTGAATAGTTTTGCTTGCAGATACATTCGTTTTTTCATTTAGGTTTCTAGAAGGTGTTGATAATCGTATGTGTGCATATTAGATTCGTTAACGCTTTATTAATAAATTAATATAGTATGTATCGTGTAAAATTATATTAAAATGCATTCATCTAGAACTACAAACGCACTAACAATTGCATTGAAATGCAGAAACTTCAAAGAGAAGAGAACTTCTCCCGTTTCGCGGAGAACATTTTGAGACGTTGGTTGTGCATTAGCAACGGGCAGAATTGCAGAAGATCTTCTATATATATATAGACTTATGTATATGTATACATATGTTTGTGGGCGAGTGTGAAGAGTGAACACCTGGCCGTGTGCGAGTGTGGGCCGACCGACGCTGACTCACATTCATTTAGATGTAGTAGAGGCGCACAACCGATTTTGTGATGAGTGTTTCGTTGTCATAGAAACTGGTTTGAATTGTCACATTGCCATTTAAGACCTTGGCTGGCATCATTTGGGACTCGGGGGCCGCCTCGATGGTCGACTGCCAGGTGTTGGTGGTGCTGGCGCCGACAAAGCCCATCTCGAAGAACCACTCCTCCATGATGCGGCCCTTGAAGAGCACCTTCTGGTCGAGCCTGAAGTTCTCCATCGACTCGACGGTGCTAAAGTTGATCTCACGCGATACCGCCCGCATGTCCAGTATTTTGACGGGCACCCGCGCCTCGTGCTCCACATCCGGAGCCGAAAAGTCCTTGTTCTCTTGCCATATTATCTTGCCGCTGTCCGCGTCACGCAATATCATGTAATTTATCTGGAATCCCTTCTGGATCTTGTCGGCGGCACTCTGGTCGTCGGAACCCATCGCTGTCGCCGGTCACGTCACTGTCAGTCTCAATCCTGTGCACAACCAAGAGAGCGGCCACTTTGCGCAGCTCGTCGACTTCAATATTTTTGGGTAGAAAATCAATTATATTATGTTTATTTTTAATTCTAGTGCCAGCGAACAGCTGTTTGATAACGATGTATATATCGACTACACAAATATCGGTATATCGATTGCGTGTATCGACAGGGTGTCCGTGCGATATATCCACAACCTAATCTGTTTGGCAACACCAACAGGGTGACCAATACTTTTTAATCTATTACAGTTCATTTTCAACGTTATATAGAAATCCAATAAAAGCAAGTATTCAGAATAGGCCAGTCAAGTAGAAAATTGATTCATCAATCGTATAAAATTATGTGCTCTTGGCTAAATGGTCTACATAGCTAGTAATATTCCACGGAAGATCAAAAATGTGGAATATGTAAAATTAATGTTCAAATCGTCAGTATATTTACGGTATATTTTTTAAATGAGACGGTATGTTTCGGTATTTTTCTGAGGGTCGGACGGTATTTTTTATCGGTCACACTGAACACCAATCAACACAAAAACATTCCTCACAAAAATTGCAACAATTAAGCCATGATTATCTATGGCGTGTATATAGTTAGCAAATCGGGTGGCCTTATTTTCAACCTGGACAACCATGTACCCCGCATCGAGCACGAGAAGACATTCACATATCCCCTGGACCTGGTGCTCGACTACGACTCCAAGAAGGTGTCGGTGGCCTTTAACCGGAAAGATGGAATAAACGGTAGGCGTTTTCTTGGCTTAATGCTCTCTAATTCTCTGTACCCATTTTTGGCTTTCTAGTGGGCCACGTCCTGGTGGCCGTGAATGGGATTCCTGTTAATGGCATAACCCTGGACGATGGGCGCGACGTGAAAACGACTTTGGAGGCCGCGGAGAACTATCCCATAAACCTGAAGTTCAGCCGCCCCAAGACGACCACCAACGAGAAGATCTTCCTGGCGAGCATGTTCTATCCGCTGTTCGCCATCGCCAGCCAACTGAGCCCCGAGCCAAAGAGTTCCGGCATCGAGCTGCTAGAGGCGGACACCTTCACGCTGCACTGCTTCCAAACACTCACCGGCATCAAGTTCATTGTGATCTCAGAGACGGGGCTAAACGGCATCGATCTGCTGCTACGCAAGGTCTACGAGCTGTACTCAGATTACGTCCTCAAGAACCCCTTCTACTCGCTGGAGATGCCGATTCGGTGCGAGCTCTTTGATAATAAGTTGCAGGAGCTCCTCGCGCAGGTGGAGAAGACGGGCATTAGCAATATTGATAAATAAACGTTAACTACACTTTATACTCTGTTATCGAAATGAGGAACCTGTTGCTATCCAATCTTTATTTCGTACCGATTCTATACTCGAGTGGTGTGGCTATACGATACGGAAAGTGTAATCTGATGTCTCTCTGGTTTTCAGATTCGATCTGTTCGCAATTGGCATATATGTAGATGTATCAAAAGTAAAACCATCAAATGTGTGACCCTCCAGAGCCCAGATATAGCGCACTCCAAAAAATTCAATCGTGACGCTACGTGTGCCATAGTGGACCATAAGCATTTATTGCTATCAGGTCTGACACAAGAAATTAAAATGATTTACATTTGGTTTATGTAATTTTTGATTTTGTTTTTTATTCATTCAGCCATCTTACAGCTATTTTTGTATTTTATACATACTCATATAAAAATAGTTCTTCGCTTAGCTTTAAAGATACTCGTATTTTACACTTTCAGCGCATATTCTAGACAACACCCTAACCTAAAACAATATATTGCATGGCCTGTACGAGCTGTACGCTTTGTGATCGATCCACGCACAAGGATAAGAAGGTAACGTAACCAAATAACCAACAAACTCAGTATTACATGCTAAATGGTATATATCTATGTATATATTATAATGGTGTAGTGTGTATGTTGTATACATATATCATAGTAATATAGTTCTTGAGCAGAATATTGACTCCAAAAATAGATTGCAACTGCGTTAAACATTTAAAAATTAAGCAACAATTTCCAAAATACCTACTTAAGAGCTAGTAAAAAGTATCAAAAAGGTTTCAAGGCATAACAATTAAGTAAGTTTTTCATTTCATTTCTGTATAGCACTTGGCGGGGTTTATGTGTACAGCAAGATGGGGCCTGTATGTGTGGGGTGGGAGAAGTGTGGATTGTGGATTTGGGGTGTGGTGTGATTCCTATAGCATACTATTGCACCATTAGTAAGATACGATGCGGTTTTATCCACCGTTTCCGATCAGTAGCCCGTTTCCGGTTCCTGCTTCAGCGTCATGCGACAGGGTTCTGCAATGAGCCGCGAAAAAACAATCTTAGATACATGATTTAAATCCAATTTCCGAGTAGACTCACCCATGCCATAGCCGGACGGTGATGTCAGCAGCTCGGGGGGGCGAATCTTGAGCGGTGTGCGCCGCAACAGCTCCTCGGCGCTGCTGCCCTCGCTGCGATTGTACTCGTTGAGCGTAATGTCCGCAGGATTGCGCAGGCCCAGCCCCAGGCCCGACTCGCCCGGCGACGTGGCCGTTCTTTGGTACGGATGCATGCGCTGGGGACTGTGGTGCGGCTGCAGGGATCCCGTCGATCGGCTGCCGTTGTAGTGCTTCACGGCTGCATCCATGTACGGGATGTCCTGCTGCTGATGTGACGCATTCTGCAGCTGATGCTGCTGCTGTTGTTGTGACTTGGGGCTGTTCAATGGGGGAGAGATGGAAGCCGGAGCGACGGCCGTGGGCGTGGAGGAGGACGAGGCTGCGGCGGCTCCAGCCGAGCTGGCGGTATAGGCCCGGAACGAATCATCGTTGTTGGCTTCGATCAGGGCCTGTATGTGCTGCACGTCCAGCGTGTCCAGTGTGGCGTTCACTTGGCTGCCATCCAAATTGGTGGCATGGGTGGGGCTCTGATAGTCGTTGGACTGATTGGGTGGCGACAGCGGAAGCGGGTTGTCCGCCAGTTCTCCTGTGGAAACGAGAGAGCAAAACATATGAGCTTCTTTTTTCGATTTGGAAAGATCTATCCAGATAGAACGTACCACCCAGGAGCATCTCCTGCAGCAGGGAATCGATGTGGGCCACGCCAAAGATCTTGGCGAACTGTATCTGCTCTATCATCTGCCAGGTGATGGACTGCAGGACCGGCAAGATGAGCAAGATCTCCCCGAAACGGCCACGCGACTCGTACTGCCGATCGGATATATAGTCCTCGAGATTGTTGAGTATCTGGTGGCGCAGCGACTTGATGCGGTGCGGCTCGTTCAGGCCCTTGGCATCTGTGAGAGAAGAGTGGGGAAATGGTTATACACCACGTATACAAAAAGGGATGCGCTTCTGAGCATTGTTCTGTACAACTTACTTGGATCGAAGAAGACCAGCGCTTTGATGCAGGCGAACTCCGTGTCGTCGATGCCAATGTCGCGCATTACCGTCACCAGTTCGTCAATGATGCGGGCGCCAATCCGCGATATGTCTAAATTGGGTGACACTCCAGGATCTGCAAAGGACACAGTGAGACGTAAGAAACAGATGGGATGCAAGCAGGAGTGAGGGATATCCGTACCTGGACAGTGCCTGGTGATGACACAGTTGTTGCTCAGCAACAGGACGTCCTTCAGGTGCATCGATCGCCGTGAGAGTCCCAGCAGCAGGTGCTCGCCGGCATGGGCGCGCAGCAGGGCCACCTGGTCATCCAGCTGGAGCTCATTGAAGGCCGGTATCTGCTTGGCCCACTCCACGAGAGTGAGCAGCTGTTGCTTCATCGACTCGCAGACATCGTTGATGCTGGCAAACTGCTTGGTCGAGAGATCCTCATTGATGTTCGGCTCCATGGCGGCGCCCGCCTTCGACTGCCGCGACTCGTTCTCCGCCTTCACCAGCGAGATCACAGAGAGCCCGTTTCCCGGATCCGGGTCATCGTTGGAGGTACGACGGCAGCTGATCCTGTCCCGCTCGTTCTGCACCGCCTCCTTCTTCATGCCCGCCTTGAAACACTTCCTCAGGCGGCAGTACCGACACTGGTTCCTCTTGTCCTTGTCCACAACGCAATTCCGCGAGAACCTGCACGTGTACTGGTGGTTCTTGCGCACACTTCGCCTGAAGAATCCCTTGCACCCGTCGCAACTGGAGGCCCCGTAGTGCTTGCCCGTCGCCCGATCCCCGCAGATGGCACAGACCGTCGGGGATTGCGTTTGCTGCTGCTGGAGCTGTTGCTGCTGACTGGTGGCGCCTCCGGCTCCAGCTCCCCCGCTGCTGCTTCCCCCTCCGCTGTGGTTGTTGTTGGGCGAATAAACGTTGTTGTTGTTGCTGGGGGTACCGCTTCCGGCGCCATTGCCGTTTCCGCTTCCGTTGCAGGGCGTAAAGTTCTCGCTGCTCTGGTTGCTGCTGTTGCTCAGGCCCAGGCCTACGCCGTTGGGACTGAGGGCGTGCCCTATGGGGCTGTGGGGCTGCGAGGCCGGCGGATAGCCAGAGTTCAGGGCATCGGCGTGCATTATATGGCTTTCCGATTCTGTAAAAAGAGCAAGAGAGTCGAAAGTTAATAATAAACAAGAACGTGGAGCATTCATTCATCAATTCAAATAAACTCTTGAGTTTGAGAGCCATTATATCTTGAGTTTTCAAACAGTTTTACATCCATGATTTTCACTGAATTGTACGACAGTTGGAAAGCCATTCGGATCCCCTTCCAACGCTAAAACCCGCTTGCACAGCTTTAAGAGCTTCTGAGCTTTTCCGTAAATGTACATACTGCATTAAACCTTTTAAAGTTTTACATTAAGAGTTTGCACAGTTTCAGAGCCATACTCGATCTAGTTTGAGATTTATTGAACCCTTCGACGCTGCAACCGTTACAGTTTTCGAATCATTCTACGATTTGCGAACGCCTACGCAACTGCTTCTCCACAGTTTTCTATCCATTGGATTTTCAGTTTGAATATCAGTGAATATCTTTCCATACAAAAAGCAATTATAATTATACATTTTTTAAGACGCACACACGTACACGCACATGCATAGGCATGTCCACTTGTATGTGTGTGGAGTGTGGCTATCGTTAAAAATTGCAAAAATAAATCGCGCAATAGCAACAAACAAAAACAAAAAAAATTACAACAAAAACACACCGTCACTTGAGGCCGTGTGGCTGGCGCTGCTGTCTCGTCGGCGTCGACGTCTTCTGGTCAACGACGCTGCCTCCATCGAACCCGCCACCGCTGCGCTCTCCCCCGACTTGCCACGCAACAAAATGTTGCCGACGCTGGGGGCAGCGCGATTGCGACTAGAAATTTTAACTCTACCGGACTTGCGCACCATTTTAGTGCAACTGATTAGTGGAAAACACGACGACAAAAAGCGCTGCGCTCCCCATCGAAAAGCCCCATCGCCGCACACACGCCATCGTCGACGTCGTCGTCACACCATCGTATGTTGTCTCTGCTCCTCAGAGAGAGGCTCAAGCAGACACAGAGAGAGTAAAAGAGAGTCTGAATGTGTGTGCGTTAATCGTCGCTTAAATCAATTCGACTGCGTTTGCATATCGTTTCAGTGTGCAGGTCCTCTCTTTCTTTTGATACCCTTGCAGAGGGTATTTATTAGAATGTGGACGCACACAGGGAGCATCTCCGATATATTTATATTCCATCAAGTTTGATACGCCAAGATCGGAGCGCTGAAATTTGGACAACATTTTTCATAATCCGGTGCTCAAAACATATTTGTACATATGTATATGGCTTCCGTGATATGATCTGCAAGGGTATCAACACCATCGGCCACCGCAGATAGCCTTTCTTTCTTGTTTTCTCTCTTACGCGGCCCATGGGGCGGAGAGGGAGAACCGAACCTGACTTGGAGCGCACACGCGAGCGGCAGAGACAGCAAAGCAAGGCAGAGAGACAAAGATAGAAATTCAACAGCAAACGAAGCAGGCAGAGACAGTGGCAGAGGCAGCAAATAAACAAATAAATAAATAAAATGGGTAAAAAAAAGCCGGCTTTAATTTGGACATCGTTATGGGTGTGAGTGTATGAGTGCATGTGGAAAACACAACAGAATAAAAATAAATGAACACAAATACGGCACACCGAAGTGCATATACCCTTGCCAATTGATTCTCTCAACGACAACTACAATGATACCGTATTTCGTCTTAGTGTTTTTTTTTTTTTAACTGTGGAACTAGTTTTTACAGAAACACATAAACGGATGTGGCTATTTCCAAGACGTGTCAAAAGTTTAGGAAAAATCATAATACCGCCTGCTAAGAGCTTCAAAATAGACAGCGAGAAAGAGCGCCAGAGAGCGACACGAAAAACGAGAAATACACGACACGAGCAAACACCGAACAACAACAAGTAGAAGAAAAAGAGGAGGGAGCGGCGGTAAATAGTGGCTTTAATAAAAAACAATCAAAATTCTGTATTATTTTAATGCACGCAACAAGTTTGTGCACAGTGGGCGATATACACAAGACTTCACTCAAAATACTGTCGCTCAACTAATCTGATGGATAAACATTTACTGTTTCAATACACTTTTCACAAATTAGCACTGCGGTTAGATATTCTAACCAGACGGTTAATTGGTTCAACCGATCGACTGTTTCAATTGTCACCTCACCCGCTGCCCCACCCACAACCACTACGTCACGCCCACCCATATCTCCTCACCTGAAATCTCAGCAGAATCAATCCGTGGTGTAGTGGCGATCAGTCGAAGCCCACAACCGAAATAAGAGCAGACACGGTCGGGTAAGAGAAGTTTAAGTACAAACCAAAAACGTAAAACCAGCCCCCGGGAACAACCATTCTTATCGCCTGGTTGGTCTTTTTATCACAAAAATACTAGTTCTGAACACGAAAAAAAGACAAAAACAAAAATATGCTCCGGCTTGTCCTATCTTTTCGCGCATAAAACTTTCTCGCTATTTCTGACACTCTCTCTAGTTGTCTCTCCTCTCTCTCGCTCTCTCTTTCTAGTCTCTCTCTGGTAAAACGGGCCCCGGTGTAAGTTTTTTATGCCATGTCATCGTTAGAGCTCAGTTTTTTTTGCGAAGAGTTGCTGCGTCATCGTTAGTATTGCAAAAATGTTGTTGTTGCTGGCAATGTTTATACTTGAGCGGGGGCATCGCCGCAATCATAATCTGAGATTAGAAAATATCGGATTCTGAATATTTTTGAAGGATTCGCGAATCGGGTACTCGCCCTGCCTGTGGCCACAAATAGTGCGGTTTATGATCGTTAATAAAACGAAAGAAGCAAAATATATATGTACATATGTACACACATATGTATGTATGTACTATTTGTTTCTCCACGTACTCGTGTTTCTGCGCTGATAAGAGACAACAGCGTTTATGGATGGATGCATCATCGTGAAACACCTGTGCTGCCAAATGACTGATCAACATATTCATTTTCATGGAATATTTATATAGAAGTCAACGTATTCCTTATATATTCCTTCCCACATATCTACTTATTTGAGCGTGTTCAATTTAATTTGCTTAATTAATTTGCCCAGCACAACATTGGAGGCCAGCGGGCGACGAGCCCCCAAAGCCCCCCAAATAAAGTATAAATAAATAAGCCGAGAGAGCGGATCCGGCATACTTCACGCTTCGACGTTAAATTCCATATTTATGGATACATGTACGAGTATTTATCTGTAGAAGTGCATGCTTCTGTATACCCTCATGTTTGCCTTGTTTGATGTTTGGGTTTTATCTCTGAAATGAAGTAATCTTTGAAAGCAAACCAAGTGACCCACAGAGCTCTTGAGTGAAAAGAATTAAAGAACTGTTCTTAAGATACAAAACAGAGATTAAAAGTCAGTCTTGTATCATTATCATCTTTATATCGAAATTACAATAAAAGATTGATACCTTTGCCAAAATGATAGCAACCTTAGCTAGAGAGTAGAATAATATATTCAGGCATGTGTATCTAATGTATGTTTATGTGTATTCTAGATACTCGCACATATTGACATACACACCTAAATATGTATCCAAAATATTATTTTTTAGCCGCCCATGGTATGGATGGTTGGAAACTTTGGTCGAACTACGCAAAATTTGTATTTATTTATAGCCCAAATTGTTTTTGTTTGCTCAAAATTTGCTCTTTTTTGTGGGAACATATACTACGTCTGATGGAAATAAAATTCTAGCAAAAATGGATACAAAACCCCAAAGAGAGAAACCGGTTGAAATTCAAGAAATCCAATTGCTCTGCAGAACTAAAGCGAAATTTGTCTATCGGTTGTCAATGAATTAATTTACATTCATAATTATGCGAGTATTTGTCCGCAGTTTAGTGCCGAATAAGTAGATTAGATACGAACACGAGTTTGTAGGAACACGTGTGGTGTATTTGTCACCAATTAGTCACCCGAAAACTGAACAATTTTAATTGATAAGAGAACCTGGAGAGTTTCCACTATGATGCGATGGGAATGAAATGAAGAGCAAAGCAGTTTTGAGGCACTGCCTATACGAAATTCAGCTACCTTCACAAAGAACACAAAAGTGGAATATTTACCATTATTTTGAAAACCATTCTTGTCCAATTTTAATGATCGTTCGATAAGCACATTCGATTAAAGAGTGCAAATGAACTCAAGATAATTGAAAAGGTTTCCAAGTTAATACTGATAAAAATCTGTCTTGAAGTTTCCCTGTACAGATGTGTTGTATATTTATAGACGATCGTTCAGACCCAGACGGATCTTTTGGTTGAACTTGATCCGAAAAATATATATATTATATTGTCTATGAGGTCGTAATAAATATAGTAGCACTCTTAATCGTTTGCTGATCTATTAGGTTTGGGGTCGAGCTTTTAAATAACTGAATGATTGATTAAGGAAGTTGCACACTGAATCTGGAAAAATCTTGAAAGTTATAATGCATATTGAATGTCTATGATCGAAGAGAGAGAGAGAGAGAGACAAATACCTTAATTATTGTTTTGTTTCATCAGGAACGAACGACTAGTATTAGCCACGTACTACATACATACATCTGTGTGTAATTTTGAATGCGCCGCTTATCCGCAACCCCTCCCCCCCCCCCATCGCACACCACAATCGAATTTTATAAGCTCTTATCGCTCGGCAGAGCCTCAATAACGTGCTAACGGCACCCGAAGCTCCTGCTCCCTGCTCGCCTGCCAAAGCTGATAGCAGCCACAAAAGCTCAATTTAAAATCGAACAAAAAACAACCAAACATTCGAAATCGAAATCGAAACCGACATGCGACAATCGCAATTAGCGAAAGAAGGAAGGAAAGCAAGAGACGGAACAAAAGGAGAGCTGGAGGAGGAGGAGCAGTAGAAGGAGGAAACTGAGTCAGAGTAAGTGCGATATCAGGCGGAGTTATTATTCATATATGTATGTATGTATGTAGTTGTGCCCTCACAAAGGGGTATATGGTTCTATTATCAACCGAAACATAGACAGTTTCGATCGAAATCGAATGACTACATCAACATTAGACACAACATGAA